TACTGCCTACGCATATATTCACTTTGCTAGCCATACTATTAACCGCTTAACTGGTTCGATGACTCATTCATTTCACTATGTATATTGTAGCGATAAATAATTCCCCAAAATCAAATAGCTCTGTAAGTTTTCGACATTGGATGCTGACAACAGTTTTAGTGGATTCATCTAGCTGAAGGCGCTCGGTCAAGCATCCGCACCAGATCACGTGTGGGAACGCCGTGCTCAACATCTGCCGCAATCGCTAGCCTGATTAGTGCAAACCACCCTCGATATATTGATGGCTTATCAAATATATCTTCAATCTCCTCACTTCTGTCTTTTGATTTTACTTGGTGGGTGCGCTTCGTACTAGAAGGTGTTACTGGTTAAAGCGTTGTCAAACTCCGAATACCTGTGGCATCTTCATTGGTGAGCCCGACGTGATCTGGTACACCATATTGTAAACTGTGAGTCTGTTCCTTTTTGTGATTTTATATATCATTGTCTTATTTTAATTTTTTTTAACATTGTGATATTTTTTCCCCCGTGTTTTTGGGTTTATATATATATTTCCCACTCGTTCACTTTTCGTACTTGATATATTAATATGACTGAAAAGAACCCTAAAGTATTTAAGTTAAAGACTGTGTCTCCACCCTCTTTCCAACTTATGCCTTTCTGGCCAGACAACATCGAAGCCTGGTTTTGTTACGCATAAGCCGACTTCTTCGAGCACGAGTGAACGATGCGCGTACACAATTCCTCGCAGTAGTCAAGGCACTACCGCGCGAATTTAACAGGTACGTGACACCTAGTATGTTTACTAGTGATGTTTCTGATCCATACCAAACCCTGAAAAATGCCTTCCTTAAACGCGGAGATCTAACCGATCAACAAAGGTTAGACCAACTCCTCGACAACATCGACCTGCAACACGGTTCTGCCACAGACATGTTGCAAAGAATGCGAGAAGTCATTGGCCAAAGAACCTTCGATGACAGCCTATTCAAACAACATTTCTTATCCAAACTTCCTCAACAGGTGCAAGCTGTTTTGGTCTCGTTCCAAAACAACGCCGTAGACGAGCTGACTGCATCTGCCGACCGCATTCTCGAAATCACTAGGTCTTCTAACGCCGAGGTTTTTTTAGTCAAAGAAAAGCCTCAAACGACCCAGAATGACATAACACAGTTATGTCATACACTTACGCGTTATCTCAAACTCTGTAACGACCGTAAACGATCACTTACCCCTCGGAGAAGCACATCACGTAGGCAATCTTTATCTAGAACTTGAGAGACGGATAATCCTGATTGGTGCTGGTACCATAACCAGTACGGAAAGTCCGCCAGAAATTGCAGAAAACCCTGCAATTTCCCCAACGCGAAATCCGTCGACGCGAAGAACGTTTCGGGAAACTTCCAAGCCAGCACGCGTTAACGGCGACCGTAGCCGGCCAACATAGCCGTCTTTTATATGTCACTGATGTGATAACGAGAATTCGCTACCTCGTAGATAATGGTGCTGAGGTTAGCGTTCTCCCAGCGAATTCCGACGACTGGCTACACGAGCCCGTTTTAAATCTACAGGCGGCAAACGGAAAGCCTATCGCTACGTATGGCCAAAGGTATGTTTATCTTAACGTGGGTTTACGCAAACCCATTCACTGGATCTTTGTTGTTGCAGATTTTTCTATGCCAATCATTGTTATGGACCTTCTACAACACCACAACTTAATTATCGATACGCGCAAACGGAGGTTAGTAGATGGAATCACTAATTTATGTTTGCCTGACTTCTTTTTCTGGATGCAGGTTATCTCCAGTCACTATTAAGCACACTATAGACCCCTTCTACCAACAACTACTTGATAAATATTCTGGCATTTACCAATCGCAACCGAAATTGCCGTGTGTAACCAGCAATGTTACACATCACATCACGACTACAGGACCACCTGTATTCTCGAAAGCACGCCGACTGACTCCCGAAAAGTTAAGGTTTTCGAAAAACGAATTCGACCATATGATAAACTTAGGAATCATACGACCGTCAAATAGCCGATGAGCAACTCCGTTGCACATGGTCCCTAAAAAGGACAGCAACGATAGGCGTTCAACTGGTGACTATCGGAGATTGAGTGCCAAAACCAATCCCGATCGTTACCCGTTGCCCCACATTCACGATTTGACAGCTACCTTGAAAGGTGCAACTGTCTTTTCAAAAATCGACTTGGTTAAAGAGGATAACCGAATTCCTATGGCCGCTGAAGACATTGCAAAAACCGCTATTATAACGCCCTTCGGACTCTATGAATTTTTGCGAATGCCTTCCGGTATTTTCAAAACTATATCGAAGGCCGTGAATTTACCATTTTTACCGACCATAAACCACTTACCTTCTCCTTAAGCTTTTCTTTGGACAAGTACTCACCACGTGAGTCTCGACAACTGGACTACATTTCGCAGTTTACTTCAGATATTTGACACATTTCTGGAGCAAACAATGTGGTTGCAGACGCCTTGTCTCGTATAAATTTTTTGAACAGTTCCCAAGGAATCGACCTTTAAAAACTCGCCCAACTTCAAAAAGAAGACAGTGATCTTCAGCACGAGTTGGCCTCAACAACAATTAAACTGCGCATTAAACAGATGGGAACAGGTAAGGAAACTTTACTTTGTGACACATCTACAGGTAGGGATCGCCCAATCGTGCCGAAACAATATCGACGCAACGTCTTCGATACGTTGCACAAACTTTCACATCCAGGTGTTCGTGCAATCATCAAGCTTATAGCAGAACGGTTTTGCTGGCCTGGTATGAATAAAGACGTGAGGGAGTGTGCACGCTCTTGTGTAAGCTGCCAGAAATCTAAAGTTATTAGGGATAACAAATGTCCCTTAGGCTCGTTTAAAACTCCCGGTGCTCGCTTCGACGATGTTCATTTGGATTTGGTAGGACCTTTACCAGATTCGAATGGATATTTTTATCTTTTAACATACGTAGACCGTTTTACTCGATGGCCAGAAGCAGTACTCATCAAAGATATTACTGCTGAAACAGTGGCCCGTGCCTTCGTCGAGAGGTGGGTAGCAAACTTCGGCTGCCCAACAACCATTATCACAGATCGTGGACGTCAGTTTGAATCTGAACTGTTCCGTTGTCTGACCATGAAACTAGGAATCACTTGCTTTCGAACGACGGCCTATCATACACAAGCAAACGGGTTAGTAGAACGTTTTCACCGACAACTAAAAGCGTCATTATCAGCCTCAAACATTTCTCAATGGACTGACGCTCTTCCACTCGTCTTACTAGGCATACGCAATGCAGTGAAATCTGACATTGGATACACTGCATCTCAACTCGTTTATGGTACGACCCTTCGACTTCCAGGAGAGTTCGTGGATCCTTCATCCTCTTCGATGGACATGGATCTAACCTCCTACGCGAAAATGCTGACAAACGCAATGCGTTCAGTTAAACCTGTTTCCACTCGACCACGATCAACTGATGTTTTCGTTCAACCTGACTTACTACAAAGTACACACGTCTTCGTGCGTCGAGACTCGCATCGACGACCTCTCGAATCAACATATGAAGGACGTTTCAAAGTTCTTCAACGCGAACCTAAGTACTATATAATAGATAAGAACGGAACCAACGAAAGCATCAGTATCGATCGCCTCAAAGCAGCGTATTTAGAAGGAAATCCTATTCACGTCGATTTTCCTTCAATACAATCGCACGACACAACACCGTTAGAGCGTTATTTATTGGCAGTTACCGAGACGAACTGTAAACGGAGTTTAAGGAATATATCGAACACCGACCACCACAAAGGTTGAAAACGATCTCGAAAATAATAAATGATATTTAAGGTGTACAACAATTCGTTAACAAACAGTGTACATAAAATGAAAATTCATATCAATTTTTAAGTGACTGATTAGCAAGTATACATATTAGGTTTGTAAATTGGAATTCATGGTCAAGTTATATTATAGCAGCAAGCCAGTTAGAATGAAGAATGTGCTTTTGTGTGATACTTCGAAAATTGAGTAATTTTGATCTTTCATTACTTAAAAGCGCTATAGTAGATTATTCATAATGTTAAGAAACAACAATGTAAAGTGACTGAACGGGTGAATTTCACATACTGAGATTTTATTTAACATACCAATTTGTTGCCTCTTATTTCAGACTATTTTGGGTATGGTAGAATCTCAGTGAAGTGATTTTATTTATGATTCGTCCGATAATTAGAAATTAATAATAATTTTTTACGCATTACGTTTTCATCGTGTTGTCTGGTTAATTCACTACTCTAACACTCAGGTGAATCGATCAATGAAAATTTTATAGGCAGTAAGATATTTTCTACATAAATATTGACATATAAAAGAAAGTCTTGAAACAAGACTCATATGAAAGTGTTTGAACTCAGATTGATGATGTTATGTAACAATCGTTTTGTAAAATATTGAACTAGAAAAATCGATAATGAACCTTAAACAGCTAAACTCCAACAAATTTGATTATTTCTATTGTGTAACACTGATTTATGCAAACCATATGTTGCTCAGCTGAGAAGTGATTTCTAAAGCATGTGGTCACAGAAACTCATCCTAACGTAATTCATCCATTTGGATTTTTTATATACAGTGTTTGACGAAAGACAACTGTGTTATGTTATTGAACATTCCTCCTGTATTATTATATTTGTAGATATGAGTAGTTGTTTGTGAATAATGTGAATGATAATAATCTGTGATCACTAAGACAATCATCATCAATCACTTTAACTATGCAATCCTCTTTCAATTCATATCGATAATGTTTGTTTATCAATGCGTGTTCATAATGGTAATCATTATTGCGAGAGTTTATATAAACTGTATATTTCAGTACAAAAAATACATCTGTTAAACTCCTACCTATAGATATTCTTTACACATTAAAATGACAAGACATTCTTGAAAATGACAACCATAAATTACAATTTACATTGTTAGTCCCTTTGTCTGTTTTTGACATGCCAAACATGTACCACTGCCTGTTAACAAAAGTACTAAGGTGTTTGTGTATCATCGTATAGAATAACATAATCGAAAACCAGGTAAATTTATTAGTATTTGTCAATATTTAACATCACAACTGTTTTGTTTTGTAAAATCCTTCAAAAATTTTGCTACTAGTCGTAGGATGAAATATAATAAAGTATTTTATGCAGGAATTCTCTATTGAGATTGCCAACACAAAAATTACGTTTATATCAAATTGATTAAATGACCATAAGAGCCATTAAATGATTGTTTGCTTGTTTCATGGTTAAATTTTAAAGTTTATACATCAAAGGTCAGCCACAAGCAAGAAGTTCAGTGTCAACTTAAGCTATTCACTTATTGGTTGGTTGATATTTTAACATGTTCATTTGCAAGGTCATGCGTCAACTGTTCACACAGATTGGTTGCATCACTTATATATGCTTACTTAGGGAACAGTTGAAAATCATTTGTGAAAGATCAATTGTCTCTTTTCACATGAATTTGTTAACATGTGTCGATAAAACTACTGATGTTGCGATGTTGTTATGTAGCATTATGATAGCACAGGCGTACATGAATATCAGAGTAGTGTTTTAACTTTGTAAAACAATCCACTTGGTAATCTTTATAACCTTATTCTCAACAGTGATTGAAATTGGAAGTCAATCAGAAGCGTCAAATTCCATTTACTAACGGATAGCACAAAGGAACGATACCGGCGGCCTGCTTGAATATCTGGGCTACTTGTTTCCTCCCATCTAGATATTTCGTCAAGTTATCTTTTTTCATGTTTGTTTTAACACATTATTATGTCTAGTGAGCTCACAAACTATTCAAGCGTGTTTATGAAAAGTTTACAATATTTCGCTGTACGGATTACAAAAAGGTACAACCAGCGACATCATGGTGGCTTGCAATTTGCATTGAAACGTATGAACATTATTCAGATGTCGATTACCGAACTCCTAACATCTAACTAGCCACCACACAACATGTATCGTCAGGATCGATCAAGATATAAGAAAAGGAAACTTGTTAAAATACTTTATGCTGAGAATTCTATATTGCACCAAAAATATAATGATCAATAAAGCTTATAATAATAATAAAAAAATAATAATGACAAAGGTACAAGCTCAACCAGTGAATTTGAGACAGAGAGGTCTTGGCGAGCGATATTTAAACTATCAATATTTAAGCTACAGAAAGCTATGTGGGTAGGCTGTCATGTGGTCAAATGTACACGTTTATACAGACAAGATAGTGATCATAATAGTACAACCAAGTAGATGTGTTGTTATTGCTTAAATAACGCTATGTGTTAAGTAATTTAATATAAGGGCTTAACCAAATTTAATCATAATCAAAATTGATTGTAGGAGAGTTGTTATATGTTTGCGTTCACAAACTTCAAATGTTAGTCATAATCATGTGCTCATCAGTGACCATCTTCATGAGGTGATTCCCGAAAATCTAATGAAACGACATGATCAATAGAGCTTAACCATTTCAAATGAGAAACCTTGTTGTATGTGTCATTCGATATCAGCCGTTCAATACTGTATATAAACCGAATCTGAAAACCTGAACCAAATACGTGCTCGGAGCAATAATTGATCACTGAATGGTTTAAACATCTTGGGTTTAACTTCTGATGAAATGGGGTCGTGTATGTTCATAACCGATGAGCTGGATATTAGGACAATGTATTCAATGTTTATTTCATCCAAGTCAATCTGTGGTACAAACTATAAAATTGCAATGTCAGTTAATTATAAGAATGAGTTAGAATAAAAAAATAGAGGACATCGATTATATCAGTGTTTATCAATTAACATCGAAATAACAGTTTGAAATAATTTCACTAGTCATATTACATTCACACTGTATCATAAGTCAATGTTTAATTGTTCAATCATACTTATCAATGAACTGTTAGAGTTGGGTATTGTTGTTCAGGATGGAAATATAAGCATGGTAGTTAAAATATGTAACTCTTTAAAAGGAACACCATCTAAATTACTCACCAGCTCTATAAAATTCACTATCAATGGTGTGCAATAGTTCACAGTGTTCATCAACTGCACTGTTTGCATCTAGCTTCAACAGTAGTACTATTATAAACCACAGATCACTTGGATAATGTTTATTCTTTGTATGGGTCACCTTAAAAACATGCATTCATTACTCGATCAAAAAATGTTTTCAGAACATCAGGATGTTACAGTATGAGTGTAGCTGTCAAACCACTGGGTTAAAATACAATAGTTTACACTTTCAATTCCAATTCATTACCCGACATAGCACTTGGTGAATATCACATACAAATCGAAACTAATTCAAAAGTTCAAAGGATGTTTATTGTAGAATTTGTACAAACAGTCTTACTTACGCCTGTTACTCCCAATGGAGCATAGGCTGCCGATCAGCATTCTCCAACCCACTCTGTCTTAAGCCTCCTCTTCTAGTTCCATCCAATTCTTGTTCATTTTTCTCATATCTATCTCCATTTCCCGGCGTAATGTATTCTTTGGTCTTCCTCTCTTCCTTCGACTTTGAGGATTCGATGTGAGGGCTTGTCTTGTGACGCAGTTCGGTGCTTTCCTCAATAAGTGTCCTATCCACTTCCAGCGCTTCTTCCTGATTTCTTCCTCCACTGGGATCTGGTTCGTTCTCTCCCACAGTAGGTTGTTGCTAATAGTGTCCGGCCAGCTGATCCGAAGTATTTTGCGTAGAAAATTGTTAATAAGCACCTGTATCTTTTGGAAGACGGATTTCGTAGTTTTCCAAGTTTCCGCTCCATGCAGTAGAACTGTCTTGACATTTGTATTGAAAATTCTGACCTTGGTGTTGGTTGTCAATTGTTTTGAGTTGCAGATGTTCTTCAGTTGTAAATATGCTGCTCTTGCTTTGCCAATCCGTGCCTTCACATCTGCATCAGATCCACGGTGTTCATCGATGATACTGCCCAAATATGCAAAGGTTTGTGCATCTTTCAAAGCTTTTCCGTCATTTGTGATTTGATTGTTGCATGCTGTGTTGTACAAACAGTCTAGTAGATATGATATTTCATTTACTACGCGTATGATAAATAATGTCACAGAAGGTTTGCGGATCTTCCATTCTGAATGTCAGTAGTAGTTTAATCGACTATTGATTGTAATTATTTGTATGAGTGCTTCCCAGTTAATAACGATTACAATTTGTATTTTATGCAGTTTCTATTGACAATGTGAACTCCCTCAATAGATAGGTCAATATTTCTATTGAGTAGATGGAATGTGGATAACAATGGAATCCACAACGCTCGCATTATCCTTTTCTGGGGCTCGTTAGCTCAATTTGCCTGCCTCTCAAAAATGGTATTCATTCTGGAATTCACACTCAGTAGCTTTTGTTTAAAATACACAGCATATGTTCTTTTAACTAATGTGTCTATGCAGTCACTCACTTGAGCATCCAGTATGAAGTTCAATTCATTTCAGTTAAATATTACAACAACACAAGTATCCAAATATCACTAGAAAGTGATTTAAAATCTTAAATTTTCGTTTGAAGTAACTAACTTCACTTGTAGCTCTTCTAGAGTTATCGACGCTACCAAGCCCGGGTAAATGAGGAGGGTTGGTCGTGAGGTCGGCAACCTCATCCCTTCAAAATCAATCTTGCTGAGATATCGCCAAACAGATTGTTGGGTAAGATGGAAGTAACTTGCTGATTAGAAATTCTACAATGAACTTCATACGGTAATTTGACTTGGTAATCAATGTCTATTATTATAGAAAATAAGTGTAAACTAAAAAAAATTACTCCATTTTCAGCGCAGAAAAAAAATCTTTTTTCCGAAATAAAAACGAAACAGAAATTCAATAAAATTCTTCGAAGAAGAAAAACGTGTCGAATTTTGTTATTCAATCAGTCATGTTTATGATGCATATCAGAATGATTTCATTATGGTTGACAAGTTGAATAATGAATATTTCTGATAGTAAATAAATAAACAAGACTCAAAACTTGCTTGATTGACAGCCTACAAACTATTCACTGAAGTGTTTCGTTTTTAGTTAGAGGCTTGAATACGTGTACAGTGATTCGAGTTGCAATAGTGACACAACACAATATACTAAGTGATAGACTGTAGTGATTCACGGTAGTCAGAGAAGAATTCTGGAACTGTGTTTTGTGCTTACTGAGATTTGTTAGCAAGTTATGCGAGTAATTGGTCCACCAGGTTGGTTAGTACCTGTGAGGTTGCGCCACAGCATTGAGCTGTTCTATTCAGATTGTAGCGTCAAAGCCTATATGATATCTGGTTATCCTATGAAGTGGGATTGAGCTGTACTGCCCGGTTTATAAAATGTAAGTCTGGGAGGTGTCTGGCTTTCCTGTTAAACGGGTTTGAGCTGTACTTTTTGGGTTGTCACGTGAAAGTCTGGATGGTGTCTGGTTCTCCTGAAAACCAGTGTAAAATTGCACTGATCAACAAGGGTATATTATATAATAACTGCGAGTAATACTAAAGGAACTGGTGTCCACTTCAGTATTCAAATCTGTATTCCCTATCAATCACTTCAATTCTTCTAACATCAAAACATACTACACGCGATGTTGAGCCACTTAGACTGAGAACTAGTCAAATTTACCTTCGTTTATTACTAAAAATAAATGTTTTCTGGAAGTTGAGTTTACTAGGCTGATTTGTTTGATTGTGAAGCTGTCAACTACATTCTCGACAATAATATCAACAAAAATGTTCGACAGAAGTATTATCAGATGTTGTGCTTACACAATACTTTCCATGTTAATCACTTGACAGAACATCGTACAAATACACTAAAATCAATACTCAAGAAGATAATTCCAAAGCATTACAACTTATTATTTAATACAGATAATGCACTGAAAAAGGTAATAAGACTAGAACAAACTATGGTAAAGAACAAACACCTACGTATCGATTAACTAATTTCATTCATATGAATGGGAATGTTGATATTTCTTCGAAGTAAAGGAACATTCATTGGCTAACTATCATCTGATGGATATTCAAACTGTTACATTTGAAACAGATTCAAATATCTCTATGAATATATTTGAGAATTAGTAATTGAATTCCACAACAGTTACTTTGTTTTGTTTAGGATTTCTCAATTGAATTTGTAGAATTATGGTCTACCATATTATTAGTACTGCTCTAATAATAGACCTAATCCCAAAATTGTAGATTTGTCATGATACAACTCCCTAATCCATAAGATCTTACGTGGAAGTTAAATCATCGTCTACATCAACTCATTGCATCGTAAAATCTATCAATACAAATAGAACAATTTATTTAACATGAATAGAAGATATAAGATGACATTCAGCAGGGATCACGCCTGCAAGGGTGAGACATGCAATCAGATCAACTCGAATTAATTCTATTCATTGTTCCTACCTTATCCACCGTTTGGTTGAATATGCATTTCCCAGTTGCATCATGTTCAGCATCATATTAGTATTACACATTGTGAGATCAAGAAAGCTATTGGTTATCTATTCAAATATCAACGAATTATTCATTAAACTATTGAATTCACATTCATACAACCTTGTTGAATGGGGATTCAAGTTGAGTTTTATAACATAACTGTTCTTTATATTAACTACTACAATTGATCATTGATCATTATCATGTTGTTCATTTTAAGTGATACAGTATAGATTTGATGCAATCTGCTATTGAAGCAACGATCGGCCTGCACAAAATCATACACATAAATCAGCACATATTTTGTAGTCCATGATCTGACTTCAATTAGATCATATGCATGTTTGCTATCGCCTATCCTCGTTATAATCCAGTGACTAAAATCGCGTTATTCAATAACGAAATTAAATAAGTTAAATAAAAAGAAATGACTTTTGGATGCATATATTCTGTATGGTTGTTGATCCAGACAAATGAACGGGGAAACGATGAGAAAAGAAGAAAGAGAAACAAAAAAAATGCGCGGTGGAGATGGCTGGTAAGCCAACTTCCCATTTAACCAACCGTTAATCAATATTTATAAGGACATAAAAATAAGTTACAGACATATGATGAGTAATAGGATAAGAAGTGTACATACACCTACTCGCTCATATAAAAACAGTCAAGATTGATAAGCAAATAATTAACAAAGTCACAATGTGACTCAAGTAGAATGAATAGAATTGGCTATCTGAAAGCTAGAATAAGGTATATATATATATATGTTTCACCTTATTGTATGAATATTTTCATCATTTAATCTCCTTTAAAGTCGATACAGAAACTGAGAACTTCTACTGATGATGAGATTTTAAACTGACATGGAACTAAGAGAGTCATGAACTTGACTAGTGTGTGTATAAATATTAAAGCCACACAATACAATATTGTTTAATGTTGAAGGATTAGAGAGATAATCAGCAGTTGGCTTTCATTTCTCTAAAGATGAAATAGGAGTTCAGGAAGTATATCATTCATTGTAATAGTTAGTTAAAACAATTAGTCCCTTTTTTAAAAATTTGGTACAGAAATGGAAGATAAAATGGAAATGAATAGTGTCATTGTTTTTCTTAAATTATATTATGTCTTGTATAAATTCATCGATTCTGAGAACATTTCACATGATACGTTATTAGTTCTGGTCATTCAACAGTTTTTTTTAAAATGGGAAGATTCAAGTAAAACAATATCAAATGAATTAAATTCACCTCAATGCACAAGAAAGTGGCTATC